TCGGAGGTCCAGAACAGTGGTGAAGAGGGCAAGACCGACGGAGATTTGATAAACCACTTCATGGAACAGATGTTAGATAGACTGGAGGGGCTGGAAACAACGGTCRACAAGCAGCAGCTAACAATTGCTACTCTCAGCGTGAGCGTGGAACGCTTGGAGCGGGAGTTAGCCGAAGAAAAGCGTAGGTCAACCGAACGGGTGGCACAAGCAAATTGCGCATGCCGTGGGGTTTCCCCCAAACCCTCCACCAGCTTTTTGTCCGGAGAAAAGTAAAATTGCCCGGGTAAAAATCAAAATCTTCCGGTCAAAACTCAAGGTGTGAGTTTTGAGAGCCGTTGGGCGAACATACGGAGCAGATTGGCCGGGGAAAACACGAGAAATCGGGAACCGGTCCGGAGTGTCCGGTGAAATGTCCGGTGTCTTCGGTGATCTATCCGGAGTGTCCGGCGAAGTGTCCGGTAGAGGTGACGGGGAAGCGTTACGGAGTAGTTTGTCCGGTGGAAAACGTGTTCACTTCGCGGACAGCCTGCTCATTCTTCAAAATGAGTTAAATATGGCCCGTGCGTCGATACCGGAGTTTGCTGGCAAGAGGGAGGAAGACCCGGTGCGGTTTTTGCTCCAGGCCGAAGCAATACTTGAAGAAACTGGTATCCACATGGCTCGATGGGTGACCGTGTTGGCCCCTCAGCTAAAGGCAGGTACATGGTGGGGAACCATGAGGGCGTTGGACTTTCCATGGCAAGAGTTCAAGTTTGAGCTTTTGGAAAAGTTCAACGGGGACGAACTACAGTCGAGCCTACAATCGGAACTGTTAAGTACCGCTCAGACCAAGACCGAAACACTGGGAGGGTATGTCCTGCACAAGTACCAGTTGTATCGGAGGTTAAATCTTGGTCTGACTGAAGAAGCGGTGGTGATGACGGTGATTGGGCTCATGCGTGATGAATTTAGAATTCATGCACGCATTGAACGGCTGAAATCGTTCAGTGAACTACGTGCGCTTGCACACATTTTGGATGGTAGTAAGGCCGTAGTATCGGATGAGGCGGGAGAGAGCACCAGCGGACCACCAAAACTGAAATGGCTGGAAAGAAGAAAAGCTGAGAATGCTAGTAAATCCCAGGTGCCTAATCCGAGGGAACGACTGTCTTCCGGGTCAGGATGTAGAGTGTGTGGTAGTCATGACCACTGGCAAGCTGCATGTCCAAAAAGAAAGTCGGAGTCGGGAAACGCCAAAACGACCGGCGGGACCGCCGGGTCCCGRCCGGCCAGGAAGTAACCGGCGAAAAAACAAAGAGTCGTCCGAAGAGAAGTAGGCAACGAAGTTCTACTTCGGCAGTTGGTAACGTTCCGGTACAAGAACCACAAATTACCAAAACTGACCCGGAGAAAAGGAACTTTGGTGCTGTACGGATCGGAGATTGGGGAAAAGGTCCGGAGAAAACGGGCCAAGAGAGTT